CCCCTGTTCAGTACATTGCCTTGGGCACAGCCTCTTCTTAGAAACCTGTCAATCACAGAATGTTCGCTGTATGTTGGAGGGTCTATATCTCTACTTCAGTAGCTGGGTATGCTAAGCCCCTACATTGCCAGTTCAGGCCAGACATCTATCAGGTCCCTTACAACCATGGCAGATGGGACTGACAAAGCTCACAGTCAAAAATATTGTGCAGATGGTTGTTCATCAGTTACAAATGGGCATCTGGCTGCAGGATGAGACACTGGAGTGGAGCACGTCCAACATCTCTGTTTCACCAGTTCAAATCTACCTTGGATTTATGGCCATTGGAAGTAACTGGGTTGGAATTAACCGAGGCAGTGCCAAACAAGCTATTGAAATTACACAGAAGCTACTAAACTAATCTTGCTATATTTACTTGGGAGCAACTGTTCACCTCATTAAAAAAAAATAATAATAATAAAAACTGCCACTATCTAGCTCTGTTGGCCTCCTGCCCTTTAAGTCTTAGTTTGGTCCTTTGCAAGAGCTCATGAAGACCTGTAGAGGTGGAAGCAAGAGGGCACCAAACTCCCTAGCCCTAAACTCGGCTAAAGAAGTTCAGTAAATGATTTAAAAGGAAAATATCAGCAGACCTGACTCTCACCCCTTCTAAGTCACGCACTGAAATGGTTGCAAGAACGTGGACCCCAGGACTCTTCTACCATAGTTTGGGCCGTCAGCCAAAGGACTTCTCCACCCGCTGTCCCCTTTAGACATTTGTGTCTCATTAGCTCATGACAGATTACATGGGTTTGGCGATATAATCTCATACAGCATGACTCAATACAATCTCTTGTTATAAGGAATTTTCCTTGCATGAATAGCAGCTTGCCTCAAATGATTGACTATCCATGCTACTTGCAAACCAGCAGGCAGTCTGCTGGCCAATTACTTGAGTATTTTCTCAAGTACAGTAGTTTTGCACAATTATTCTACCGTGGTGGTTCTGGTGCTTATGTAAAAGGTCATATAACATGAAAAACAACAGAAACTGACATATTTTTCTCATACTCAAGTGGTATTTTTTCAAGTGGAACAGGGGTTGACTTAGTGAACTAATCACTGATCTTTGACACGAATACGACAGCAGTGAAATAATGTTGCAAAAGGCACTGAGGGTCCCTTGCAGCAGAGCATGGTTAGTGCTTTTAGCTTTGGTTTTAGAATAATTTTAAAGGAGGAGCTTTAATATCAAATCAACCCAAGTTTTGAAATTCTGTCTTAGTCCACTAGATGGTGATCCTTGTAAACCTAGATTCAGGTAAATAAACAAGAACAGTCCAGAGTATGGAGCAAAACTTGGTTACAGGGAATGACTCACCAGTCACCAAGAAAGCTGAGATTCCTCTCAACCCTCTTCTCACCATCCAGGCTGCAACATCCTTTCAGAAACCCAGTGAAAACTACAGCAAGGGCCTCTGGATCATTTGAGGCTGCCTTCACAGCTGTGTGTATTTAACTGTGTACACTTTTTGTCCACACCATGCACAAACTTCTTCTTGCAACCTTAATACAAGACAAAGGCTTAAGATATAGTAATAGAAATGTTTTATTACTCAAATATATTTACATTTGTCTTCTTTTTTTAAATGTGTGCCTGTTATTTTCATTTAAACACAATGTAATCTTTACAGATTATATCACAAGAATACAGCTACATGCATGACTTAATTGGTCCTTTGCAGTAAAAAAGATGCAGCTTTATGAAGTTAAAAAGAAAAATGCAAGCAAGCTGTTTACCTTTCTAATTACAGTGTCATTATCATTTTTATTACAACAGAGGACCCCTCCAGCATATCCTACATCTACTGTGTGTGTGCTGTTTTTTTTTTTTTTTTCTTTTTTCCCTTTTTTGGATTGTTTTGATCATGTCTAAACTTCCAAAAACTAGACAAAATTTAGGAAAAAAAAGACTTCATGCTGCCCCAGAATATTTTATTTCCTGGAAACTTATCCACAGAAACGACTAAGATGGAACCGAAGAGTGCACTAATGGTAAATTTAAGATAAATCATAGCAACTGATGTCTTTCAAATGCAATGAAGACTTACACCTATTTATTCTTATGAAACCACATCATTTTGTCATCTATAAGACAGCATCATATAACCTAATGGCACCATACAAACAATAAATAGTTATTAAAAGGAGAGATGATGTTACCAAAATAAAATAACAGATACACACGTCATTGCCTTTAACTTTCTAGTATATAATGAGTTACAATTATTATTCTCAACTTTCTTTCAAGAGAAAACAATCAACTTGTATAAAAAAACAAAAAATCATCACTACGACTACATAACTGCAGACTTATACTGGATCTAACTTTGTTCTGAAAGGAATATCCCCATGGGTGTATAAACTTTCCTTTCCACACAGTGAACAAAATTAGAACTAGGCACAGGTTTTAAATATGACTTCCAACTCGCTCAGGGTTGGACAAAAAAAGGAAAAAAAAAAAAAAAAAAGGCAAGATAAAACAAAACTGTCTTGTATTTATTTACTAAACTACAAAACAGAGATCCCCAAGTGCTCCAGAAAGTCTAAAATGGCAGGCACATATTCACTACATTTAAAGAATTTAAAGATAATTGTACTGTACTTACTGCTTTAGTTTAATGTTTTCAAGCACATATTGTATCTGTAAAAGACCTAAATGGTCTGTCAATACATGAACAGAAACTCACTCAGCATTCAGAAAGAGCAGAGAGAAACTAGATTCTTCTTAGTCCAAATCTAGGATGTATTTTGCCTTATCCATATTACTTTTATGTTCACTATATTGTAACTGAATGCCAAATGTCGTACTTGAGAAAAACTCACTATAAAATCATGGTCTTTCACTGAATTGCTCTTGCATGCTGCCAAATCTGTTATGAAAGTGTCATATATAAAATAATACAATAAAGGAAATTGTGCTTAAACATTTGGCACAACGTAGTGATTTGTACAAGAAAGAATTACTTGTAAGAAAATAATAAGATCTGCAGAAATCTCACTCTGGTGCATTTTAAAAAAATCCAGTAAAATCTTGAAATAATTGATCTTTATTTTAAGCCCATTCGGGAGAATGCCTGGACACATGTAATTAAAAACATATGAATAAGCCTATCTCTCTTCACCAGGGAGCTTGGCGTATCTGTAAGCACATTCTTATGTGCTATTTGCATCACAGACTTCAAATATAAATCCCTCTCTGCACGAGGCTGAGTGCTTTGAAGTCCCTGATGAGGAGAACACACTTAGATAGTGCAGCAGCCCAAGTCACTGATCCAGCAGATAGCTCCCATTTGCTTTTCATATCTCATTCCCAAATCTTGTATTTACTGCATCCTCCATTTTTGGGGGGCAACACCTTGTGTACTTACAGAAATGGCATAAAGCTACTGTTCAAACCAAATGCCAAATAAAATGCAGCCTCCCTCAACTCCTTCTCCCCAAAAGCTTTTTTTTTACTTTAATTCTCTAAAATAATGAAGGATGTGAATTTCCAGGAGTGGGTCGGGAAGGTTTAGGATCAGTTTTTGTGTTCTTTGCTAAATTTGCCTTGCTGGTAACAGAATGATGTTCAAATCATCACCTTTATGTTATAATTCTTCCTACTCAGCTTCCCATGCTTCTCAGAACCTAAAACAAAACAAAACACATTTATATAGTAGCTGAGAACTTCTCATAGTTTGATGGTTAAAATCAGGCAAGTGACTCCGGAATTGTTCACTCCCTGTATCTCTGCATTGAAAAATAGCTGAAAAACTCACAAGGCAGAAAGTTCTCTATGAGGAAATCTGCTACATGCTAGAACAATGATAAAAATCCCCATTGTTATCCCCACATTATTATTTTTTTTAATAGACAAACACAAAAACAGTAACTCCTGAAGTTATTCCCTGCAAAGCTTTGGGAGCTCTAGACTCTACAGTGTAGTTTATACAGTATAATAAAACAGATGTATCTGAGATAAGCATATGCTAGATTTTTAATTAATTTTGATTTTATTCATATTTTACTGTAGGCTCTTTTTCTGCTTGATCTGTTTGCACAAGCATAAGCGGTCTGAACCTGCGAGTAAAATTTAGCTGATCTTGTCTAGCCCTTTGCAGAATTGGATACTTAAATCTCTATACATGTAAAATCCTCACCAAAATGTTTTAAAAATAATTGCTATAAACAATAGAGCCCTTTTAAGCCATCCAACACTTCAGCTTTGATGCAAAAGCAAATGAATTTATTTCCCAAAATCTCACCAAATATATTTTGCTATTTCATGATACGACATCTCCTCATACTACTGAGGCTTTTTGGTTTGTGAATTTTACCTTTGCATCAAATTACAATTCTAAGATATGTTGAGACAAACAACATGTAAGCACTGCTGGTCTCTAAAAGTGAAGAATATTCTTTAATTACACAAAATTATAAAATATGAAGCCATTCTAACTGAAAACATAAATTGTTAAACCAAACCAATGTAGTGACATCTGAACTCTTTTATTTTGATATTGGGAGTATTTTGGTTCCCTTCATGACTGCACCAAGAATGCCTCCGTAGTGGCTGCTACAAAGCACCCAAACCATTACATGGCATCTGGGTTCCAACTTAGTTTTGGTTTTGAAGTTTATTTCAAGAATGTTTAAAAAATCATCTAATAGAAGAGCATCTTCAGTTGAAAATGATTTAAACATCAGATTAAACAACAGATTTAAAAACATCAACGGCCTATATCTTGGATTTCAAATTTGTTTTCGTGGAAACCAGCAAGGTATTAAATCAAATACCCTAATAAATAAACATTACCTTTTCATTTCGCTCCTTACAAGAGGATTTGCAAGTAGAGTGGTGTTTAAAACACTTATTATCATCTTTGTCTTTTAAACCCATAAGATTGAATTCAGGAGTTCTGTTAGTTTAACCCCGTTTTCCTACTGGCTTCTTTATGTATGTATATTTGCAGATACACAACACTTCCTGGGTTTTTTTTTTTTCTTTCCCGCCAGAATATCTGTGCCAATTGCAATGCTGTCAAATGAAACTACCTGCATGAAAAAGTGCACAGAGTGTGAGGCATGAGACTATGGAAATGAAATGCCCTTTGGTCTGAGGAGGCTGACACTGACCCAGATACAGTTCTTGATTACTTCTCATTCCACACAATTTCTGTTACAGCCAAGTCAAGACCAACTTAGCCCAGCCCAGCCTAATCTAAGGATTACATCTGGGTTTTTTGAGTCATGCTACAAAGAAAGGTGCAACAATAAACAAGTCCATGTGCATTCTCAGTCATAACTATGAGCAGAAGAACCCTTCAGATTCCTCACTTTGGTATTAAATAAAGGCTTTTAGAAATAAAGCAATACATGGTGGGACTTGAAATGTTAACAGTCCCAAGTAACTTGTCCACTGAAATAAGACTCATCCCCAGTCATAAATAAATAATCTCTTTCCTGGTCTCACTTTCATGCCAGGATCAATATCTCTTAACATCTTACTTATTTTATTACTGCTTTTGGTTTTCTGGGACTGATTGAAAGTTGCTCAGAGGAAATCTTTGGTTTTGCTTAAGTGTCCATGACATTTAATCATGACTTTCCTTGCAGTTTAATTCCAACCAGTCAATCAGTTAATCCACTTCAATTGATTCTGTGCTCTCTGTTATTGGCTTGCACTCATTGGGCATCCTCTGGTGTCGACTCAGCTGGGTGGCTTGTGTGAAGCTCCTCTCACACCTCTCGCACCTGGTGAAGGCAAGAGAGAAAATTGAGATCGGGGAGCTGCTCTGGCGGGGGGCGACGGGCTTCGTCTCATCCTGCCTAATCGGAACAGACACTCAAAAGTGGCTTCAGATTTTACTGGCTCAAGAGGTTTAATTGGTGGCTACTTCCAAGGCCTTGATGCCCGTGATGGGACAAGGCCTGTCTGATTCAGAACAGAGGAATCTGTCAATAGGCAGGGGGAAGGTGATTTCTCCAGAGAGGGCTGTCCTGCTGGAGCTCTGATCACTGTCAGTTCAAATAGATAAAGAACAAAAAGAGATTTTTAGGAGTGAGCCATCAAAGAAGTGGCTTGTCTGCAGTTTTCTGCTCTGTAACCCCTGGAAGAAATTGAAGAAAAATAGAATTTCACCTTCTGCTAATTTAAAATCCACAATTGCCTATTGGAGGAAGAGAAATCACAAAGTAATAATCGTTTAGTGTTAGAACAAGAGAAACCTCTGTGTTTATCTCATCTGACTATGTAGTGGGGTTCATTTTAAACAGGCATGCAGAGTTAGCGATTGCTTAATTATCTGAAAACATCCACAGTATTTGACAAAACTGGGGGGTGAGCAAGAAAGAACTTTTAACAGTCACCAGTGTTTTCTTTACTGTCTTTCTGTCTTCTCTCTCCTTAGAGAGCTGCCATGAAAATAATGTGCAAATGAACGATCAAAGGTGCTGCATTTCTAAGGGGACAGGATGGGCATGTTGCTAGCTTGGCGTGAAACCTCGCTCCCTGTTCTAAAGGGAATCTATTGCATCTAATCTCCCAAATACTAGCCTCTCAATTTGCATTCTGAACGCCAGATAGAGGTGTTTGATGAGTTGCAAGTATGGATAGAGCAGACTCTCCCTGTAAAGGCACTCACTCCAGAAGCCACCTTTGATTTAACGGTGCTGTGAGATGTTTTATCTTCAAAGAAGATTATCATAAAAGCATCGCTATGATGAATTCTTCACCTTCAAAGGAGAAACAAGGAAAACAATGATCTCGACTAATTCATATTCCTGTTTCTCTCTGATATGAATGATAAAAAGTGAACTGTAACTGAGCTAGCTGTTTACAAAAACAAAGAGAGAGAGAGAAAGCAAAGATAGACAGTTTTACATACATGCATAACTGTGGAATGTTATTCACATTAGTAAATTTTAGTAAGTAATTTCTGCTTCAGGAACACTGAGCACAGACATTACAGAGTCATTCATCCAGGCTACTGTACCAATCTGAAGTGTCAACACTTTTAAGTTGTGTTTCTTTGATTGTCTTTCAGGGAATATTTTTAGCAGTGTATTCCACTGCTAAAAACTGCACTGTGATCTTGACAAATGTAAAATGTCAGCTTTAATGTATCAGACCTATCAGCTCAATGAAAATAACTCAGAAGTATTGATCACTTAATGATTTTCAGTGTATTCATTAACGTCTGTGTGCAGATCATCCACTCTCCAGAGCTCCTGAAGTGCTGATGACACATTAGTGTACTGCTGATTGTTTATTAGAAAACTCATTAGTTACTGGATTAGTGTGTCAAAATATACTACCTTTCATTGCCTGACAAACTTGCAAATTATCATATTATTTTTATATGCATACATATACGTATATGTATATATATCACAGAAGAATCTGAATCAATTTTAAGGCTGCAGGTGGTTAACTTAGTCTGTATGAGATATCACCACCTACTTGATAGTTTTGTTATTTTGATGTCTACCAAGACAAGTACTTTGCTTGCTGAGGACTAGGGGGTTTGGCTCCTTGGATAACCAAGCTGTAAAAGATACAGTTGGAGAAGAATGGCCGCCTGCAAATCAAGGGAGGCAACACCTTACTCCTCTCAACTCACACTTCCCGCACTGCAGCCACTAGCCGCTCCCCCCGGACAGTGATAGACCTCCAGGACACTTCCACAGAGATGCACAAAAGGCTGAAAGATGGGAGCAAAGAATTAATTTGTGGCCAAGGGCATCTGCCCTCTGGACAGGAGGGAGGTGTATGCCAAGCCTGGATGCTGGTCTGGCTGTGCTGTCCGCGCTCCGCAGCCCACGGGCAACAGTCAGAATAAAGACTGCACAGGCACCTAATGCCCTGAGCTAACCCTCAGGTAGCACCCAAGGTATTTCTAGGCACTGGCAGAGCATTGGTGGTGCTTCCTGGGTTGCAGCATTGAATACACAGTATTATAGTACCTGGGTTACTGAAAGGGACTGTGTTATCCTCCTGATTCCTCTTTTCAGTTTGACCCAAAGAAGGCATTGCCTTATATAAACTGATGGGAAAGGTGAGGATAAGAGCATCACAGCAGTCAGTGTAACATCTCATGGTAAACAGAAATGTGAGAAAAAGAGGACTCTTTTTTTTTTTTTTTTCCTGAATTATACTGCAGATTTTATCCTGTAAAAGAACATCCTCCCCAACCCAATCGTGGCAGAGTAACTGCTGCGGTTACCCACATCCACGAGCCTGGTGAGCATGTGTGCATGCATGCATTTATATATTAACCACATGCAGCTTATAATGTGTTGGGAGGTTTAAAAATAGCCATAACAATGAAGAAGGAAAACCAATCCATCTATCCTGTGATCACTCACAAAGTAAAGGCTCAAGACTCCACCAAAACGTGGCTATCAGAATTAAATTTTGGCATAAGCCTCCACTGTACATGCTAGTATCAGCAATATTGCTTCCTACTAATTCAGATGCTACTTAATTTACACGTAACGCCATTTGATGGCACTTGAACAGCCCCTGGACACAATATAGATTCAAATTTAAGTAGTTTAAGACTCCTCGCCAAGTTAGATGCCATGACTGAAACCTGTATCCTTTTTATCTTTTTCATAACAGACATGCCTTCATTTTAATTGTAAGGAGCAATGATTTACTGCAACATTCAGCCTATCATACAAAAGACCTACTTCTACAACCTTATTTGTTGTGATTTGTTTGGTTGAAAGGGAGGTAAACAAGGGCAACTTTTGTGTTTCTGAATTGCACTAACAACACCAACAGCAGTGTTTTTGTTGGGTTTTCTGAGGCATAGCTTGGTTAAATAGTCCTTATAGACATGGTATGCTTGTTTGCTGCATGATAACTTCAAAATAATCACATTAACAGTTAAAATCAGAACGAGTTTAACTACCATGTTCATTTCAACTTCAGTGAATGGCTCCGAATGAAGAACACATTGAGGGTCCATTTTAAGAAAAATGTTTTTTTCTCATAGTTTCAAAAAACACAGTAAAGATTTCATTCAAAACTACATCTAAATTTAAATTTTAACCTAATCTGAGAGTCTTTAAAATATAAAATAAAAATAAATACATAAATAAATAAATAAGCTGAGATGTCACTGCAGGTGCAATGTCTATATTCAACCCTAAACGAATGCTCCATGGCTTTGTGTTTCAATAAGAAAATGAAAAAACACCAGACTTATCCCAATCTGAAGGAATCTTCTCTCTCTCTCTTAATTTGTTGTTATTATTATTTTCTTTTTTGCTCGGTTACTGATTCTGCAAGCAGCAATATCAGTTTGTTTAACTAGCCTCCAATTTTGCTGAAATGGGAAAGATGGTAGAAAAAGATTTAAGAAAATGGGAATGGCCAACAGTTTTCCATTTTCTCCTACCTTTTTACTTGCTCAAGAGCTTTGTTCCCAGACTAGCAGCCATAGTGGAGACTGCAGCAAGATAAGAATACACAAAACCATTACAATGGTGAGGCTGACTTGATAGTTTGTGATGACATGAAAAGAAATCCCTTCCAGTTGGACCTGCAGTCCGGGCAATGTAGCTAAAGCTTTAACTACAGATAACCTCACTTAGCATCGTTATCTATAAGGAAAAGCAAATAGAAAACTCTTCCACCATACATCCAAAGTAACCTAATACCTATAAAGGCTTTCTCACATAAGCAGCCTTATAACCATTCACAGATTTCCTTTTAAATAACAATTAATTCTGAAATGTTTTAGACTCCTTTCATCACATGTTCACCAGTTTTAAAATCACCTTCTGAAAACAATATACACAAAAATATACATTTAGTGTTTGACATTGCCTGCTTAATCCATACACACCACAATTTGTTCCAATACCACATACAAGCATAAATGGCTTACTGCATTAGAAATTAATGAGGTATTAATGAGAAAGAGTTAATGCAAGTTAACCGTGCAGTTGAGAGTATATTTTCATCTGTGAAACTGAAGTTAGTAATACTGTTAAGACGATGCCTGTATTTTTAGTCAAACTTATCTAAAATGTAAATAGTTTCCAAGCACTTTTACAGATCTCGCTTGTTAGCAAGAAAAATATTATTCAACAGAAGAATGTATGTTGCCAGAAATACAGAGCTTTGTGAGGTACAGAACATTTATATCCACTGACTTCCTGGTTTTGCGCTTTTTAAATAGGCCCCCTCAGCCCCCTTTGCGAACATACATTTCACATTTAAATTGCACTCCCAAGCCACAAAAAAATATTTTTTGTCCTACCTATGGTTCTTTATTCCTGGAAATTACTGCTTTATTTTTATTAGCTTATATAGTATCAGGTCTTGGACCCCACTGTTTCAGAGGAGGATCTCAATGGTATCTGTGACATCAAGATGAGCTGCAGTTATCTCTATTTTGTACCCGCAAAGTGGGAGAATTGATTTCTAGGTAAACTGTCCACCTCTCTCCCTCGATTCAAGTTGTCCTGCACAGAGGGCAGCTCTGCCTTCTTGAGCAGCTGGCAGGATCAGGGCACATTTGCCTCCTTATCTGACTAGCAGAGCCCGGAGGAACTGCAGCTCCAGTTTTAGCTCCGTGTGACTTTACCAGGCGACCTCCTCCAAAGACCTCACTGAGTCTTGCAGAGTACAACTGGGACTGCTCTTTCCTGTATTTAAGGAAGAAACTAAATAAAACCCTGTAAGACTGAAAAATTTGGGCCTATACAAAAAAGAAGCAGTACAAAGCATGCATATTTTTTGTTGCTCTGCACTATACCTTGCCAAAAGGGCAGGTATATGGAATACATGAATACCTTTGTATAAGCAGTGAAAAACAAATCCTAGAGCACTGGTTAATTGGAGTATACACATTAAACTGTTTCTTTCACAAATGAAATTGCGCAGTAGTCGAGACCATTTTGGAGAAGGGGAAAAAATTACCAAACCAAAGGGGAAAAATAATGACTCTAAATGGGGCAAAATAGCAGATCTATTGGAAACATGACAAAAACAGGATGTTAAGGAAAAAAATTAAGTGGAGTCAACAAGGTTACACATAAGTAACACCTTAACATTAAAAGAAATCTATTTTCCATTTTGACCTGGAAACCTCCTCCATTAATTACTAAAATCTATTTACACAGCAACTAGATAAAATCAATCTGATTGCTCACACTATTTTTGGCTTCACTTTCTCCAGGCTCTCAGTACGAACCAGCCCAGCTCTGGTGGAGTTCTTGTCAAGGCACCTTGTCTGTGTTTCCAAGCTTTTCCCCCTAAAGCGCTACCCTGGCTGTGATTTCTGGTATGCAAACTCTTCCTTGCAGGATGCACGGCATTTGGTGGCCGGCTCCGTCCTCCTGCCCCCAGCAGACACATGTATGGAGGCCATGCATCCTTCCAGCCATATATGGAGGCAAAGCATCTCTAGAGGTATCTCTGCTGCGCTTGTACCAAAGCACAGGTCCTGACAGCCCCCGGGACTCAGCTCTCTTACATTAACCAGACATAGGCATGAGGAGACAAAAGGGGACAGGAAGACAAGTGTAGAAAAGCAGACTAAGGAAACACCGTCCTCTGGTGAAGGGGCACGGGCTCACACCTTCTGCAAGCCTGATTCCCCTTCCTCCTAGGAAAATCAGCTGGTTTACAGAAGAGATTTTTTTAACGTTGTTTTTCTTCAAGAGTGGGATTGCTTGTAGGTACAATACACATGTGAACTTGTGTTTGTCAGGTAGCAAGGACACAGGCCCAAACATGGAAGAAATGTGTTCTGCCTCTGAGCACACCTTCTGTTAGGCAGATAGAGTCCTGGTAAATTCTACCTGGTTCAGCTGTGCTACGGCAGGAGATGACAAGAGAGGACAGAAGGTTTCTGAGCCCAAAATGTGTGCTTGGCTTTTTCTTTCAATAAAGAGCAGAAGTCAATAAACTGCAGAAGTCAGCAGAGTCTGTTTAATTAAAAAAATATCTTGACCAGGAGACATATTTCTTTTTTTAATCATTTGGACAGCTAAGCATTTGCAATTTATTATTTTGAGCTTACCAGACTTACACCACAAGACAGAGTTGGGTTTTTTAGGCAGTGGTTCTGAGACTAAAAAAAGAGATGCATGTTCTCCCCCTGCATTTTAACCAGGTCCAAATTAGCTGTTACGTGAAGCTTCATCTACCTCAACATATTGACATCAAAGAATCGTATTAATCTTCTTACAGTGCAGCCTGTCCCAGTCTCGAGTGTATTTTCAGCTATGGTTCCCTGACGGTAGCTTAGCTGTCATTTGATTAAAACAATCAAGTTCTCATCAGAGGACAGGAAATTGCTCTGGGCATGCAAGGTATGTGAAAACAAGCCCCATTTAATGCTGAGCCCCATTTTTAGTCACGCCACTAATGGATTTGGCTGGTGCTCTGACCTTGCTTTGCAGGGGAACCTCTTCTACGTGCTGGGCTGGTGGGGACCTGCGAACGGCGAACAGCAGCTACGCGTTTCCCTCCCGGGTGCCGGCAGGCAGACGCGAGCACTTACTTGAAAGGCTTTTCCCCGGTGTGCGTGCGGATGTGGTTGTTGAGCGTCGTAGCACCGGCAAAGGCACGGCCGCAGTAGCCGCACTTGAAGGGCCTGTCGCTGGAGTGCGTGACCACGTGGTTCCTCAGCTCCGACGGCTGCGAGAAGGACTGCGAGCAGTGGCCGCACTGGTAGGGCCTGCAACGGGACACGGACACGCGGCACCATCAGCGCTTTCTGACGTAGGGAGCGGGAGGCTGTGCGGGTAGGAACACCTAATCTTCCTGGTAATTTCCAAAGGGAAAGGCAGGAGCAGCTCCCTGGGACTCTTCTGGGAGACCAGCAAGAACTGCAGAACCCCGTAAGCAAATGTGAAGTCTTTATGCCAAAATTACCCGAGAGTCTACGGGCAACAAAGCAGGGCGTTTGCGATAAATAAATAAATGAAATAATCAGCAGAAAGCTAACAAACTTGTCCTACACATCATATTCTGGCATTTCTCCTAAGTTTAACACTGCACCTCTTACTCACAAAAACCCTTGAGTTAACAGCCCCAAGGCATTCTCCATCTGTGGATGCCAGCCACAGTCTTGCCTACAGACGTGTCTACTTGATGTAATATATTCCCATGGATTCAGTGACTACTCACATAAGAGTTTTTCACATTGCTTTGGATATCGCTAGGCTCACTCTCTTTTTATTTACCTGTATTTTAAGATCATCTTTTCCAATGAGACCCTTTGGGGGAAAAATAGCCACCCTCTTTACTATTATTTTTTGTGTTTTCTTACTGCTAGTAAGAACTCAGTATTGGTACTGAAATAATGAGTTTCCCCATCCGAGACTGAAAAAACCTTTTTTGTGAACCTGAAATGAAACTCATATCTTTGTTTTTGTTTTTTTGTTGTTATTGTTTTGTTAAAGACAAACAAGGAAAAAAAATGATGCTGCAAATTCAGAATCATAACAAACATATAGTAAACACAGAAGGTTGAGTTAGTGGCAGAGTCCTGCAGGTTTATGAGACCACTTGTTAAGAAAAATAAGAATTTTTCTGGGAATATACATGTGTTTTTTTACACTGCCCACCAGCATGGAAGAAAAGCTCTCTGTGGCCACATTTCTAGAAGTGATGGCCACCAGCAACTTAATTCTTCTCTCCCTAAGAAGAGAGAAAGGCTTAGCCATAGGTTTAACTGGATAGAAACCCAAACTCAAGAGAATGAGACAATGGTGACCGAGCATGGACAACAATTCAATTAAGTGCAAAATAAAGCAAACTATCTCATTTGTCAAGTGAGCTGCTTAAGTGCAGCTACTTGCATCACTGCTCACACACACTATTATTTTACAGTGCTTTAGAGCACTGATTGTAGAATTTTTTAGCTTGATTATTAGCTCAGTATTGGTCAATAACTCAATAGTTTACAGTTTTAATTACTGACATTTGAAATTTTAACTGCTCTCCAACAACTTTGAAAGATGTATACAAAAGTTGCAAAAGGGTTACTTAACGTGGTTGATGTGGCCTTCTAAAAATTACATAAACACATGCAAAATAATATTTTACATAAACAATGACGTCTACTGAATATCTGTTTCCATTGTCAGAAGACAAGAAGCAACATGTTTTTCAGCCTTCTCCTTTCTTCGAGTGCATGCTTAGTTTGCACAGGAAATATTTATCAAACTTGACATGAAAATTCAAGTGCTGGTAAAACAAAACTGATTTGTGAATGTAGACTTAAAAAAATGTTTTCTTGTTTTCAAATTAAACACTTTAACCAGGAAGAACATATTAAGATATTCTGTATCCAAGAAACATTGATTTTTTAATAGTGAAAGGGACCATTAACATCTATTAGCCTCTGGTTATCTATTTTTAACAGCTACCACCATTAACAATAAAACACTAAGCAAAACCAATTAATCTTTTATTTTTTTTTAACAGTCAATATGATTAATTTCATGAGGTGAAAATTCACAGCATTATTTGTTTGCAAAGAGTCAAAAATCCAAATCAGTAATAGCTGAGCATTCAGATGCCAATTAAAAAGTTTCTATCCCCTTCACTGGCTCAAAAGGGGCTTGTTTACAAAGCATATTACTATATGCACCCAAGATACAGTTCACTGGCTGGTGAACAAGACAAAGAGCTTAAATAAATAAATAAATAAATAAAATTAGCATGCTGAAAATGTATTTTTTCCCTTCGCAAAAACCTTGGCAGAAGAGCTATCAAAGAATGGTCTCCTGCTCTTTAGGGGGGTAGTTCTGCAGTTTATACACAGGTGATTCTGATTAATTCCAAAATGGTCAGAGAAAGTAATTTTTTCCAAACTAGATAAATGACACAAAGTAAGCAAAGCTCATTTTAAAGGGAAAGCTGATATATACATTCAGGCACTATAACAATTTATAAACATCACATCTAATTTGTCCTGTGAACTGGTTCACAGTGAATGTTTGGACACGACAATATTTTTCCAAGGGCAAAAGTAAAAGACATTCAGTGATTTGAAAAGTTATCATTTTGTTTTCTGGTGAACATTTTACTGCACTCAGAAATTTCTCTTGGCAGAAGATAAAATCAATATGTTGCTTATGAAAAAAATAAATAAATAATAAAAAAAAAGCAATGCAGAAAACCCTGGACGTAAGTGGTGCTTGATTCCACAAGAACAGCAACCCTGGCAGAGCAGGGACCCTCTGTGCTCCAACGGGAGAAAGTGCAAGGAGAAGGAAACAAAACTGGGTCTCTTCACAGGCTGAGCTGGCAAAGCGGTGCCGCGTGGCTGAACGTGTCCCCAGTGCAAGGCACTGCAGAGCCATCAGAACAACCGAGAACATGACTTTGGTCACACCTTGAAATCTATGGTATCTGTGTGAATATAAGCCCAGGAGCAGGTTGGTGCTGTGCTCCAGAAAATACATATTCAGCAAAATGAATGTTGGCTACTTCATAGGCAGAAGCCCGCAAGTCTGTCTTGTGTCTCTGCACAAGTACATGCAGATTTGCAAACATAAATGAGATTATTTGAATAAAACAGGTGCACTGGGGCTCAAAAGTACACACTGACTATCTGAAATCTTTCTATAAAAATCTTTTCTCTGCATCTGCCACATAGACTAGAACTAGCATATCTTTGAAATTCTACTTCATGATTTTTGCCATGAGGGATCCTGTAGTGCCTTGCAGATGCTAATTCGGCCTGATCAAACTTCTTCTGAGTCAGTATTTTATTTTTAAAGAAAGTTACATTTAAAAGCAGCTAAAGTGATGTGCATGCAGCCATATGCTGACAGCCAAGACGAGAAGTTCCAAGGCTTTTCATTAAACACCCAGCTACATGTTTTCCTGATTCTCTCTCTTCCTGGCCAATCTTAGAGGAAGGACAGCTACTTACCTAGAAGCAAATTCTAACATTAGAAAAATTGCCATGGTGCCATAGGCCTTATGCACCTCTAATCTGTTATGTCGCTTTCCTAACGTCTGCAGACAAACTTAATGCACCAGCGGATAGTGTCCTTCAGCTTTCTCTAGAGACCCTGACCTTACAGTTTCCAGCTGTATGAGGACAGGCTATTTAAAGTGAAATTCAGAGAGCAGCCCACAACAGCTTTCAGGTTTCTGTGATTATTTAGTTTCACTTTTTGCAAGTTCCTCAAGTTGCATTTCCAAAGTCTCAGAAAAAATAATGAATATTTTTGACTCCTCAATTTTGATAACCCTTGAGTAACTGCTGTTTAGTGATGTCTTTTCCACTTACATAGTTTCCCCACATTTGTAACTTTTCCTTTTGGGTGATATTACATCACACAGATCATCAGTAAAAAGCCCGTGTACCCCTATGGAGCTTAACTGAGTATCATTTCTATCCATGCTCCTGCAGCAGGGAGGCGGCATGTTGGGAGATAACAGAGAGAGCATTCCTTCTCAGCCGGAAAAACTGCTGACAGAGAGCTGTGCATTTGGTTTGGTTCTTCTTAGATTTTCATTTAGCAGAAGAGACAGAGCCCTTTACTTATCTTGCACTGCTTCTATCCTGGAACAACGTACCTTCCAAACCCAACATCCTAAAAAAATCCAGCCAACATTAAATACTGCCTACTTCACAAACTGAGGAGAACGCTTGAAGTAGGCTGAATCCTTACAATCTGAAAAATCTCAGAATTATATTCCATTTAATTTTTAAATTCTGTGTTTTACGGTGAGCTAGTTTTGCAGTGAGACCTCTGCAGAAATGCCACTTGCTATCTTCTGGGGTCAAGTGGGATTCCAAGCCAGTCTTTCAGAGACGATTTGCCCATACCCATAATTGAAACACTGTCAGGGAGACAAAACAGCACATTGTTCTCTTTTTTTTTCTCACTTAGAAAAGTCTAGAAAAACACCAGCTGAAAGAGGAAAGAATGACATGTCATTGAAAGTGCTTTCCCCACTGTTTAGGGCTAAGGAGAAGAAGCCAAACAGGTCAATGCCAAAGCATTGGGGTGGGACACAGCCAAGACAGAGCAGGCCGCAGCACGCCAGGTAGGGTTTCAGGGCAAGGATGGGGGCAGCTGCCACAACACAGCAGCTGAAAGGTGTGAAAGCGGGACATGCTGGAGAGCTGTCCCTTCCGATCTCAGGGCCAGGCCTTGGTCATCTTCACACAGTGACAAAGAAAAGTGGGATATAACCGAAAGGGAAGGCACCTGTGGCACATTCCAAAGCCTTTCTTAGTAGCCTTTGGGCCTGCTTAAGCAAAAAGCTCTTCCTGCCCTAGAGCCCTTTCCAGGAGCGCACGAGTGAGGAAGTCTCCAAAGATACCCTAGCCAAGGAAAACGACCAGTAACACACTCTATCAAATTCAGAGCCTGAACTTGCTAATCACGAGCACGTTTCAAGGGTTTTCTGCCCATGCTTGGGCCTGCCTCTAGCAAGCCGACCTGAGGCCAGAGAGCGAGGTGGCGGTGAAGCATGCTGCCCGCTTGCGCACCGAAGCATCCCTACCATCAGCACGACAGCTCTGTGCCTTGGGTTCCCACCAACACAACGCGTCAGCAAGAGCGCCCAAGCGGTCTGCACGGCGGCCATGGAGCCGAGCTCCCGCGCAGCCTCCCTAGAGCTCATGAAGGAACCAGGAAAGGCAGCTTCTGCAAGCGCTGCCAAGCTTTTGCAGGTGTGGATTGAATAGTAATACAGCCCTGCTGTATTACTCGCTGCTGGTGCTGGAAGTTTGCAAACCTTCGTGAAAAGATTATGCAAGAACGACCATTACATTTAGCAGGATATTTACTTTAATTGAGCAGTATTCCACAGCCTCTCTTCAAACAGAAATAGAAAGCTCTTGTTCATTATTTTTTTTCCCATCATGGAGAGACATTTAAATTAATAAGTAGGCTTGGGGACAGCCCACTTGGGCATCAAGGTCAGAGGCAAAAACCTACAAAGAAATGGACCAAGCCATGATCTCAGAGAAAAGGATCTATCGACAACTTCAGCCTCATAGCTCCCCTTTTTTAAAAGGTCTACACATTTAATGCTGGAGCATAGGAACAAAACATGAGTACAATATCATCTTTCAGATAAACATGAAACAACATGAGCTGGGTAACATTCACAATCCACCAGCCATGCACATACATACAGAGGGTCTTCCCTCAAACTACCACCTTAAATATATGACAATCAATGAGAGTAAATATCACACAGATGTACACATTGTACATGAAAACATGCCATGAACAGCCCCTGGGAATTGCATGCATCTGCCTTCCCTTAACACCAATACATACTGAACAGGACGATCAAAGTGAGGAAGAAGAAAGACGTCTTTAAAAAAAAAATAGGGGTCGTTATTAGAAAAAAACATTGCTGTTGAAAAATAAAACAAAAAAAAAAAGAAAAAAAAATTGCTCTAAAAATGATTCACTGTGATCGAAAGTTTTTGCTTACCCCTGTCTGAATCCCGCCCCCCAAATACATGAGTTGGGAATTTCTGCAACAGCAAAAGAGAAAAAAAAAAGAGAGAGAGAAAAAAATTCTGACTCCTGCTTTAAGGGATAGCTGTTCAATTTGCTTCTTCCTGGACAAGGCTTAAAAAGGGCTTAGAAAGTCCCATGGTTCAAATCTAGGCAGATTTGAATCTTCACTCCTCTCTAGCTCCATCTACCATTAGCTTCCAAAAGAAACCCTACAAAGTTTAACAGAACAAAAGAAAAAACCTCCATAGAAAGCAAGAAGTCAATTGCAACCAAACTAGCATATTGCTTAAAGATAATTTTAACTTAAAATAAAATCTTCATCTCACTATAAAACAGTAAATGCAGCAGATGATCTTGAAAATTCTCCCTATTTTAGGCTCATCATTGTTAGTACTTTTTTAAAACCATCTGCCTTTTAAATGAGACATTTTTTCCCTCACCATCTATCTGAAAGAAGCTTTTATATATATGTTTATATATATCTGACCACCCTTATGCTCTCACACAGATGTTTTCTGAATCAGAGTGGCTTTAAAGCAATTTTTTCCTTCCCCCCAGCAAACCCCAAGTAGCTTGCTTTACTCAAATTTCAGTCCTCAAAGTGGACTCCTCAATAGACTCAGAGACGTTTTCTTTGTACCTCATGCTAGAGGTAATCAGGATCATTCAAAACCAAATAAAAAGCCATGAGAAGTGGCTTAAAGTCATGTTGTGGAGCAGGCAGCTCCAGCCCCAGCAGCAATGTATTGCCCAAAATTGTGACAGTAAACGGGGAGCTGCATATTGGCTGGTGAAGGCCTGTGGCCACGAGCAAGAATATGCAGCCCAGAGAGCTGGGCCCAGCACTGCGGGCTGGCAGGTAGGTGCTATCTCACAGATTGATTGCACCCTATTGGCTTGACTACAAGAAGTTTTTGTACAACACTAGGAATTCTTCCCTTGGAGAAATCAGGCATACTTAAGAAATCAAAGACAACTTTTTTCCAGCCACTATATCCCTAAATAGTGGATCTACCAATACTCACTAAAGGACAAAAGGCTGGCAATGACCTAAGTTGACTACAGTGAATTCTTACTGGGTTTATGGGAACCGAGATCCTAAGACAGTTATGATATATGGTAACATTGACTCTTAGTTTCAAGTGATAAATGCATTGAGCCTAGTGATATTTGCATGTCCAAACTCTCATACAGTGCCCTAAAGAAGAACTGTTGGGATTTTTTATGACAGCTTTGTTCATGGCACATCTCTCAGGAGCCAAGAAGCATAACAAAACTAGCCTCCACATGGAGTCTATTCAATTTATAGAATGAAAAGCCGTTACAGAGGGATCATAGGTGTCACAAAACAGAGCATGCCAGCGTCTAAAATTTATGCAATGGATTGATCCTAAATGTACCTTGCATCAGCTCAGTTGGATTTTAGGTGTTCTGTGTAACACAAAAGGAAAAGGTGCTTAAAAATGGGATTCACAAAACCCCAAACGCCAAAGACGAAATCAGCTGTATTATCCAGTATGAATACTGAGACAGAGGCATTAAGTTGAAGCTTTGAGACTTTCTGAACATTTTTCTGGGATTCAGCACCTACAATTCCATCCTTACCACAGTTAACCACCCCCTCCAACTCAAGCATCCTCAAATTCTTTCACTAAGCATCCTCCAATGGACCATCTATCCAAGTCCCTGATGTAGGAAACCTGAGTCTAATATACTATGAGTTGCTCTGAACTCTCTACGTGAAGTTTAGTGTTCTAATTAAAAACACTAAATTAAAAATTAAAAATTCATTGAAGAGAGAGAGGGAAAAAAATAAGACATCTTGCACCAGTAACCTACCAGTGAAGGAAGGAAAGACCTAAGGTTCAGGAATACTTAATATAAAACACTGATAAGAATAAAATAGGAAAGCAAAGCTCTCCCCGCTAGGGTGACAGCCTCTGCTGTAGGATAGACCACTTTACCTCTTCTCCCTGTCAAAATGAATATTTAACTTCCTCTTACAGTGGGGAAGAGCCCTGCTAGTAGAAACGCCTCTGTACTAACAGCAGCTGCAAATTGGGTCTATTAAGAAGGAGACACAGGTTCAGGTGATGGAAAGAACGAAGTCTGGACCTTGCACCTGACCAGATCAATCAATGAAAAAATATGTGGTGGAGCTTATTGACATACCTCTTCTTTACCTTTTGGGGCAGTATTTTATGCTGTAAGTGGCTATAGGCTATAACACAGGAAATAAGAGAGCCCTCACGACCTGGAAGAATGGTCTTTATAGTACCTTAAGTTGGCAACTGTGTCCATGGGTTTCCTTAGCATAGGCTTACTTTGCCAAGGCCAGTGTAAAAGTCAAAAATAAAACACTGAAAGAACATAAAAGACTTTTGTTACATTCAAAATATTATGAATTCTTTAAATTTCATGTAGACTTACATGGGATTAGCTTGTCCAAGAGCCCTTGGTGCTTTTTGCTGGAAAACTGGATTTATGCTCCAATGTGCGTGCACCCACATAAGTACACAAGCATAGGTGTATGCATAGGCAATCACATATACATAGAGACATGAGTACTTCTGCATACACACAGTCAGAGTCACTGTTGACTATTTTCTGTAGCACTTGGTTACGTGTAATTCACATTCACATGCTGCTTTTACAATGATTTTGTGGGGATTCTGATGTTCTGCTGAAACCTTCTTAATAGGTGAAGAAGAGACAAAACACGTGCAGCCTTTTTTATTGAATTAATTTGATTTTTATCTTTTGTCCTGCCACCCATCAAAATTGTCAAATAAACCAGCTTTGATTCATAAATAATGGTTCCATTATATTTACTGTGCCACCGGTCAGAGTACCTGAAATTTTAATTCACTTGTTCAGCTAAATTTCATCCTCAGTTCATGGCCATAAAATTCTGTATTGACGAACTTTCAAACCAACTTTGACTCTGAGGTATCTAGTCAACATTTTTCTTCTGTGTGGATATTAGTTTATTGAATAAGTGGCATCTGTTTTCCTCCACATCACTAGTAGAGTAGGTATTTCCTTTTGACAGCCTTGCACGATTTATGGGTTTGCATGCTCTGAAGAAAAATAGTACTAAGCAAAAAATTCCAATTCATTACCTCTTAGTACTTAATTAAGTTCATACACATTGCACACTATAGGTGAACCCTGAAATGACTATGACAGCCACTGAGAAGCAAGTAAGATTATCTTTGGAAGACAGAGAGACTTTTAATTATCTTGACCTCATTTTTCCATCTATGATATTCATAAATTTTCCTTCTATTTTGTTCCCTCCAGCAGATGAACCAAACCATTCAGAAAACAAGATTATATCCTTAGCTATTTCCTTTTATCTGTACATTTAGGCACCAAATGTTTTTACAAATAGTGAAGTCAAACAATGGCTTTTATCGGCTTACTTCACACAGCTGCAGATGAATTATGTTGTACAGACTCCTCCTAGTAATGGCTTGGTTTTGGAAACGATAACAGCCTGATAAAAGGAGAAAGCAGTGATGTGACTATCAGTAGATACAGAAATAAAGAGAGCCTGGGTTTTACCTGTCAGGGTTCTGCGTACACACATGCATCTGTAAGAGGATCCGCTGGGTGAAAGTCTTAAAGCATTGCCCACATTTCCAAAGGTGCCAGTCACTGAACTCAGAATTTAGTTGGCTCGTTGAAGTTGGGCTTGCAAGAACTCGTTGGTTTTTAACACTGATCTGGTTAAATCCTGACTCGATGGACCCAGACTTATCCAGGAGAGAAAAATTTCTGCTACACGGAGTCTGTGGAAATACTATGGAGCGCTGTGGAGTGGCAGGGGACAGTTTGCTACTTTTATTAAATGGCTGTAGTGTGTCTTGTCTGGACATGGCCTCCATTACAGTCGAAGGGACATTCACTGAGAGAAAACAAAAAAAGTAAATAAGATCCTTTTTATGCTTTTTAAAACCAATACAGTCTTGGGAGACACCAAAAAATATCAATATCCATTATCTTGTTACATGAACTAAACACTTATTTTAACAATGCACATAAAAAGGGTTTGAATGAGACAGTAATCTGAATGGATGGTGGTGATTCAGTGACCCTGAAACAAAAGCTCATGCAAAGGGATGCCTGGGAGTTTGCAAGGACTCAGAGGATCCTGACTGTGATGCACATTTGTTATTCAGTGAAATTGTCGTCTGAGAGAAAATGCTGCAGCACTCACAATACGCTGACTTTACATGTTGCACTCAGCATGTGCAATTGTTGTATCACTGATAAGCATGACTTCTGAGAGCATGGGGAAAAAGCCCTGTGCTCAGACACTCCTTGAGTTTGAAAATCTACTGCAGTAGTAATTCCCCCATCCTAGCAAAAGGCAGCCCCCAAGGATATTATTATTAGTACAACTCATACACAACCACCCAGCCAATACAATGCAAAGCCAGGAACTACACCATGACTGGTATGATTAAGGCTAGGGGAAGTCAGATCACCACAAAACAATGCAAAATATAGAGAGATCTTTTTGCCTCAATTGTCCACCTGCAAAAGAGGAAGGAGAATAGTTTCTAGTTGTGTGGAAGTCTTGTATTAACTACAGCTTTTGAAGCACTTAGACATTTCAGCACCAGTGCAACACCCTGTTCTCAGAAAGAAATGACTCAGTACTGCATTTGGATGTTGCATGATAATGAAAGGCGGCTGGTCCAACATAAAGAGGATTGAGCTGCTGCCTCATTCCTTGGGTACTATCTAGACCATGCAGTGAATGAAACAAAGGTCCTATGGGAAAATAAGCCATGGAATCAGGTATTGAAAGGCTGTGTCACAATGCAGAAGAGGCAGCATTTGGGTCACCTGCACCAAGAACAGTCTCTTGCTTTCATGGCATTATATTTTAATGTAATTTTTAAATATGTACATGTGCATACGTCTATGTATGTTCATTCACAATTAGCTACAGTCACAGAGCGTGTCTGCATGTGTCTATCTATACACAAGTATAAATTACCTAGTTAAACAGGTGATTTGAAACGCCCTTGTACCTAGGTAAGTGATTATAACAGTTTTCTAAGACTGCATATGGGAATACATTATGCAACACCTTGAATAATAAGAATTCACTTCAAAAATTCAGGTGCTGAATACATTGCATGGCCCTGTGCAGCATCTGGTGCATCTGGGACTGGCATGAGGCTGGCCCTCCAATTCCTGCTTGGTGTCCATGGTACCCCACACCTCCTGCTAGGAATGGGGGCCCCTCTGCTGGCACAGCATGGGTAGGGTCCCTGCCTTGTCTTGGAATGGGGACATTCAGGCCTTACAGGGCCCAACATCCGCCCCAAAACCTTCCTGTCCCACAGAGTAAATTTGTATTATTCAAGGTGTCACAGCACAGGTTTCCAGAGCTATAATATACCCTACATGTCTCTAAAAGTGTTCAGCACAAGGGGTGATTTCTGCACTTGATTTTTTACCCTAAGACCTAAATAATATAAACAGAGGTTGCACCGGCTGAAAATACCCTCTGCAGAAAATGAGCAGAAGGAGCAGAAGGGCTACCCTGATTGTTAAAGAGACAGGCAAGTCATATACCGGCTTGGGGCCAGCTCCGTGCTCAAAGATGCATTGCATCTACTCTTAGTCTCTCTGTGGATGAAACTCTGGTTTCTGTCACAGCAAAACAGCAGGTGAATTATTTAGAGATTGTAATTATGATGCTTTGCTTTTTAAGTAAAGGTTTTGTAACCTAAAAAGTAGATTTACTCACGGAAGTAGAAATATTTCTTTATTGTATACTGCAGAGAGTTAAGTTTTATCAGCAAAAATTCCTGCCAGTAACTTCATTTATTTTAAATTCTTCTCAAGCCCGAAAGATTTGAAAACTGAAGATGAAGAAGGGTATTTATTTTCAACAGTTTAATCCTCAGCATCTTGCTGTTCTATTGCTGCATGGTTCAATATTTAAGTTACTAGGAGACATGCATTCATTTCAGCATAGCTATTTAAATATGCAAGTACTCTACTGAAAAAAATATATTTCATATATAATTGATTATGTATGGGCAGCCACAGAGGGACTTTAGACCAAAGTCAATCAAGCATCTATTATTGGTTTCTTCCACCACATAAGCTGTCAAAATGGAGAAGATGTCTTTGAGACAGCTCTAACCGAGCTCCACATGCAAGCAGGGAAACTTAAGGGCATGTTTGGCTCTCCTATCCGTTGCAGACAGCAGCATCCAGGGCTTGGTTGCACCAGGCCTGGGTTGTACATTTAATTTTGTGGTTGCTTCTCATAAAATAAAAATAAAATATGAATGGAAATGGGGATGGACATGATGGAACAGAGACTCATTGTTGTTTCAGGCTACTTATACTTATCCTGTAGCCAGAGGAGCTGGGTTTTGCTTTTTAACCACAAGGACCTCATCTCAACAATCAGTCGAAGATTTTTCTCAACATACTCTGTGGTAACAGAATGAGGAATTGCTAACAGAGGCCTCATGGAGCTGCAATACATTACTGTTTTGGCTAGACAGTCTCCTGTAATGGGTCTGATAATAATGGAAAGGGCCAAGGAAATCAATTAAGGATAAAATGATAACTAATCACTTATGAGGAAGAGTGATTGCACATGCTACCAAGCTATGTGGGGCTGCTATGTTGGGAAATCTGCTATATGGTTGCAAAGTTCTACACATTTTCAAACACCTGAGTTTGTTTAGGTAATTATACCATGATGTTACATACCTTAAGTATATCAGAATCAGGGTTTTATCTTGTATACATGAAGCTTACCACATTCACTTAGTATGTCTTAAAAGAACTTGAGGAATGTAACTGATCAGCTGTAAAACAGGAATTACAGCTACACATATAGAAATACAATGAACAACTTACAATTTTCATCCTGTGCAATACACTGCAGTGGGATTCCGAAGAAAGATGTGTAGCTGTCATTGTACCACACCAACAGCTCGGTGCCCCGGGGAATATCTATACAAGCCCGATAGAATATGTTTGACCTAATCAAAACAAAAAGAAAGAAAGCCTAGTTTAGGAATAGACTCCATTCCTTCTGATATACACAGTGCTGTGGTAGAAATCCACTGTTTTGGAAGCATTTCAGCAGAAAACCAAGAGAATATCTTAACAATTATTTTTAAACAGAATTTATAATTGGTGAAGCACTATACTTACTACAACTTACTGTAGTACAGAGTGACAAATGGGCATTTTGAAATTAAAATATGTTAAACATCAAGATTTTACAAACCTCAAGATGCTATAAAAACTGCTGTTTTCTTGCAATGCCTTTTAGAGGGGTTTTAGAAATGCTGCATTTTGTTCATCCTGTATAGGCATCAGAGTGCTCTATTGGTGCTCACGTGGCAAGAAGGGAAGCAACTGACACGGCTTTGCATTTGTTACATAGACTGGCATAGTTAGCATACAGGGGTAAAGAGGCAACAAGCCTTTTCACTTGAATATGTGCTTTTAGCGACAGAGTTTGTGGATTTCTTGGATGGCTTTCATTGCGGTGATACATCACCAAAAAGAGAGATCTTGGCTTATGGAATAAGATAGACTTTGGCCCGGTAAAAAATAAAAAAAAGGAAGTTAATCTGAACATGCAGTCACAAAAATCTTCCCCTGCCTGCAACATGAGGGTAACACAGATGACCCTTCAGGAAGTATGAACTGCTGTTACAAGAAAAGTGATGCCTTTTATCTGCCTTACTCTGAGGGAAAAGACTCTTGATATTGCAAAACTATGAACCTGGATCTTGGGGGAAAAAAAAAGAAAAAAGAAAAAAAGTTTTGTAGAGTGAAAAGTAGGGATTTATCCTGATGTTGCATCAATGTGAATAGGTTCAGAGTGATATGTCTACGGTTATGAGATTTACATAGGGACAATCATTGTGAAAGCTCAGAATCAGGCACCTAAGAAATGAAATAAAAACACTCTAAGCTTGCAGTGGCTTTTCCCTTTAGGCTTTGTACACAGCAGTAAAACACCCTTGTGTGAGATGGATAGAAATTCAATACATACAAGTAGAACACTCCACTCTGGCTGAAGGATTACATACCAAAATGATACAGTCAAAGTACCAAGAAATGACCATTTTTTATAACAGCTTATGTAAGGCAGAAAAATATCTATAGACCAAAAAAAAATGTTAGGCCTCAACTGGTTTTCTCAGTGAAGAATTGCTACCAACGTTGGCCTGAAGCTCAAGATAAAAGTGTTTAGGGTTGGTAAGCCTTAAATTTAGACTTTCTGTAAAGAATTGGCCGTAGTGATGCAATTTGTTCCTTGTATAACACTGCAGACATAAGGAGAATCCTTTACCACATTTTTCATGGCAGTGAGATATGCACTTGTCAACATATTTTGTCACCGCAAAGTGGCTCTTGGCAACAGGATCATAAAGATCAATAAAAAAGTGCAGATTCTCAATATTTTACTAGCAGCTGCAAAAAATTCATTTATCTTGTTATTTTTCTCACTTACTGCCACCCTGTCTCAGGAGGGCACTGCTAGCTAAGCAGAATGGTTTCCTGATGGTTCTGGGAATGTGTGACAAAAACTCTCCCTTTTGTGTTTCTCCTTCTCTTCCTCATGCATACTCCATCCTTCCTCCTCCTCCTGTCTTCTCTCACCCTTTCTTACCAGAGTTGTGTGTTTCATTAGCCCTCTCCACTACTACATAAAAATCACAAGCAAGGCCGTGCTATAAATTACCAGCATCTCCTAACTTGAGAAAAATTGAGTCCACTTTGTACTTCACCCTTGTAACATTTTGTCTCTCAGTTTGGCTTCTCCTAACATAAACACGGCAGCCCAGCAAATGAATGTGCTAAAACCAAATACCACGCTTTGCCGCTGAAAGAGCAGGACTGTTTTGGAGCAATGGGTGGTCTGTGAGGCTTGGAGTAGGCCGGAAAAAAAACGTGTAAGTGAACACCGTTCCTTACAAGCGTACAGAGCTTCCAAAACTCGCAGAAATCTCTGCATGCTGAAGTACATCAAAGGGATTTTTCCCTTTTCGGATAATATTTCCTTTGCTGACATGTATTTAGTATTGTGGTTGGATGACTCATAAAGATAGCTTCATGGTGTCCCAACGCAGTTGAAGCAGAACACATGCCAACAAACATTATTGTCAGCCTCAAAATAAAAACAAAACGTTCAGCTAAGGGTCAATCAATCAAGAGCGCTTTGAAGAAAATTCCACTTAGATATTACAAATCATAACAGAATGAATTTAAACCAGCTGACTTTCTGTGAGGAGGACGTCCATGTACAATAAAAATTAGGCTGCTTTTCCAGTGTCCAACTTTTCTATTTTCTTACACTTGGACGCAGTCACCAGTGATGGATGCCAGTTTTTTAAATTGTGTTTTTGTAGTTCATTTTATAAAGATCTGAAGTAATCGAAAACAGATCAACAGAGGGAACTCTAAGTAAAAACTCCATCATGAAAGGAGAGTTGTAAAATCCACTTAATATTGACAGATGTGTAATGACTTTCTCATGCTCACGTTTCATTTAGGTTTGTCATCCACATATCTACTCACATATATATATATATATATATGTATGTATATATAAATGCATGCACACACACAACGACACTGAGAAACAGTTCACAAGATACCCACAAAAACACTCTCTCATCACAGTGATCTCCATTCATTATCCATTGTGTTTATTTAGAATCTGACAGGATTTTAGCTATGAACAGCAAATGTTTGAGGGTATAATAAAAGCTGTGTAATGCATAAATAACATTGGTCTTTTTTGATTATGGCATTACTTAGTCCACTGGCCGTAGAATAAAAAAAAAAACCTAAAAATCCAATTGAAGAATTTTACCATTGTTAAATTGGAACCCTATGGGGGAGTCAAACTTTATATATATTTCATTTTAGCTTGCTTTTGTATGTTTTATTTTTAATTTTAAAGAGACTCCAAAGATGTCTAAGGTTCTTCCTAAAGAAAAGAAACTCCCTGCCCTCTCCAAAACCCAGGATTGCTCGCTGTGACTACCAAACACAGGGCATCCTTTGATGTACTTCCTATTATGTTTAATGGTGCCAAGCAGTTGCTTCTGATTGAGGCAAAAGGCTTGTTTGGAGCTGAGCTCATGTATTTATACAACACGTTGTCTAGGTTTTCTGGATCCATTTGTGCACTGAAAGTAAAATGTGCTGTAAGTTCTTTGCACTTTTTTCACTTTTTGACCTTCTCCAGTTAGTAATATCCCAGGCATCAGCGCAAAGACCCCTCTGACTAGCAGGTGCACATGACATATAACATTGTGGTGCATTTGTGTCCTAGGACTCTTCCAAGCAGCCTCTGGATTCAAAACTGGAAGCTGCTACTTTCATTTCGAGTGAGGCTCTTTCCTTCCTGCCCTTGCTGCTGCACATGCATCTTCAGCAGGGCAGGAGATGACTAGTGCTGGCTCCTTCCAGCTCAGACTGTAACTGAGTGGGGTGTTGTGTGCGCTGCGATGTGCTCACACGGGACACAGAGCTGAACCCGCTCCCATGAGCACCAGGTCGGATGTACTTGCTGCAACGGCCACAGCTCTGGGAAAGCAAAGCTTAACCTGACTTTACTCCAGTGTTTGTATTAGCCAAGTAGACACGTGCGCTAAAGCGCTACTATTTGTATTCAAAGGCAATAGCACCAGTGACAGTCGCAGTCAGACACTTCACTAAAAATCTTTTCTTTTTCTTGCCCTGAGTAAATTGAAGCATACTTTACCTGTACTGAACTACTGTTAGGTTCTGCTCCCCACAGTGCCTTGCACATCGGATATACCTCATCCAGCTTGACTTGCTGGGTTCTCCACCATCAATAAAGTGCTGCAGTGTCCCATCTTGGTCATATATCTGGGGAAGAGGGCACAAGGTCAAGTAGTTAGAGCAAATCATCAGCAATCATTTTCACTACTTTGCTGGTGTCTATCCGTGCCTTTTCCAGGAATTTATTGCCATGAGGTCTGTGCTTATGAAGTGAGGCTCTTACAAACCTAAGTGAAACAACAGAGAAGTATTGGGAGGATGCAAGTTTATCTTGTTTCTCTTATCAAGCCAATCTTTTTTATATTAAACATATTTGTGGTGTCTCAAAGATGTGACCATGTTTCCCAAAGAATATTTAACCTATTTTGACAGGCTGGCCTTAAATAATGAACTGCCAGATAAACAAGAAAATCTGGATAGAAAGCCTGCGTTGAAACAGCCTGAACATCTGAGCTAGGGGTACGCATAATCCCCAAACGAGTATCCCTTTTTTCACATCTCTGACACAGCCAGAGCATGTACTTCAGCAGTCTCACACGGCACATACTAAGCATTAGAGATTCATAACCATAGGACTCTCAGTACCGAAACAAATGGGACTGGAAGGAAAAAGAGCAGTGTGAGACTCCTTTAGGAGCTCCCTAGGGAAGTATAATTTTCTGTAGTAGTGAATGAGAAATCAGTCCGGAGAGAATCACAGTTTTCTTAAATATGACATCCCTGCTAAAACATAAGAGCCAGCTAGGGTAATTTAAAAGAAAAGTATCATATCTCTCTTCTGCACTGGGCCCTCCCTCTGAAGCCGAAGAATAAAATTGCTCTGGACACTGAAATGTTAAATTTCATACTGCATGCACACCTGCCCTCCTCAGGTCTGATCCAATTAAAAATGCTATCTAGAAAGTACTACTGGTAGTAAAAGCTTGTGGTCTCACAAGCTTTTTGTGGTCTCACAAGCTTTATAGTGGTTTTGCAATTACTTTGTTAAGCTTCATAGTTGTATCAGAACAATTAGGTGCTTATCTAAAGCAAACCTGACCTTCAAGCCTATTGTTCCTTCTCAGAGGAACGTGCTTTAGTAATCCTGTCCAAAAATGTTTTTGCTTTTGAAAGTGGTTAAACCTAACTTGATCTGCACACTTAGGAGTGCTAATTCTGTTAACTGAACAGGAAACAGATTTATTACATTGAATTGAGCAGCTGTAAATAAGTGCATTAACCATTCTGTAATTCTATCTCAATATCAAGAAAATCATCTTGGAAATTACGTGAATACATTTAACATGTGCAGAGTCTAGTTGGAGGCCGGTAGGTAGCGGTGATCCCCAGGGGTCAGTCCTTGATCCAGTCCTGTTCAATTTATTCATCAATAAGGCACAGAGTGCTCCCTCAGCAAGTTTGCTGATGATACCAGACTGGGACCTTTTTCGGGCAGAGAAGGAGACTTAATAATTCATAAAAAAGAAAAATAATGAAAAAATATGCAAGATGCTGTTTTTACCAGAGCCTGAAGAATTTGTAATGCTTATGCTGAAAGCAAACAGGTAAATCTGAATCTGGTTTGAGATCCTCTCTGTGGTGGCTCATTGCCACCAATGTATTGTGTCCAGTTCTGGGCTCCACAGTATAAGAGGGATGTGGAGCTGCGGGAGAGAGTCCAGCGTAGGGCCACAAGGATGATCAGGGGCCTGGAACATCTGCCCTATGAGGAGAGGCTGAGGGAGTTGGGCCTGCTCAGCCTGGAGAAGAGAAGGCTGAGAGGGGATCTAATCAGTGTCTATAAGTACCTCAAGGGAGGCAGTGAGGAGGATGGTGCTGGCCTCTTTTCAGTCGTGGCCACTGATAGAACTAGAGGAAACGGCCAGAAACTGAAGCATCAAAAGTTCCACGGGAACTTAAGGAAAAATTTCTTAACAGTGAGGGTGACAGAGCACTGGAACAGGCTGCCCAGAGAGGTTGTGGAGTCTCCTTCTCTGGACACCTTCCAAACCCGCTTGGACGCAGTCCTGTGCCACGTGCTCTAGGTGACCCCGCGTGTGCAGGGGGGTTGGACAAGATAATCCCTAGAGGTCCCTTCCAACCTTAAGCATTCTGTGATTCTGTGAACATTTCTGAGAGTACAGAAAAGGTGTTTCTCACAATGCACTAGCAGACATATGCAAGGTTCAGAATTTGCCACATGAGTTTCAAGTTTAGGAGCTAACCTTGCTTTTGCTCTAGACCAAGAGAGATTGGGAGTGCTCAAGAACAATAATTGCATAGCTAGGGCATAAGAAACAGGGAATTAAATGTCTGAAGATCTGAGATCGCTGCCACTGGTTCCTGAGTGTCTGTGATGATGACCAGGTGCAACCCTGCCTGAAGCTCCTGGGCCACAGGACTGCCTACTCCAGCCTGCACTGGCAGATGAAATAAAGTTGGGGACAAAGCAAGAGGAATCCTCAGAGGCAAACAAATACCCCAATACTGGGAGGAGTACTTCATTTTTCATATATAGTATCTTGTTGCTAATCAGGACCTCTTATGTAAGTATTTGAGAGTATTCTAAATATGCAAAACCAAATATAAATCTGTAACTTCCTAATCCCCACATGCTGTGAAACAGGAAGGAGAAAAAGGAAGATGACTGCCATAAGTGGTACTGACAGCTGAATCTGTACACACCAGGACCTATCCACCACTTTCTGAATATGACACAGACTGACATGAGAAGTGAAAATCGTGTCATGAAAATGCAGAATCTGGGCCTTCTCTCCAACTTTGGCCTGGAGTAGGAACAAGTGCTCTACCAGTGTTGCAGGATCTACAGTAGATTCAAGAATATCACTTTGTCTTTCTGTTTGGTATCAGTGGTTTAGCCTGCTGTTAGTCTCCATATTGTGCCATACTGTAGCAGCAGGTTCTGTGGAAGCAAATAGGAAAAGCAAAGTAGGGAACAGTTCATAATTCTGCCTTCTCCAACTGCGACATTATCACCCCTATCACATTGAATCAATGGCAGTAGCGGTAAGAAAGAGACACAAGACAAATACTTCCAAGCAGCACTTCATCTAAGCGCTTCATCTTGAAGATCTAAGAATTTTCAAATCATTTACCCTTGCAGATATTCATGCCTCAGTGATATGTGCTCTCTTTCCTCTAAGGATGTGAATGACACTGCACACAAAGCCACCATGGCAGAATCCTAGCCCCAGACCCAACCAGGGGTGCCCCAGCACTCCCAGCCCTGTCCTACAGGGAAGAAAACCAGCTGCAATGAAAAAGAAATCATAACATTAAAAGGAAAAGAGCAACACTACCTTGTATCTGCTTACTTGATAAACCACATAACCCCAGGTAAGAGTTGGAAAAACTTAACTGATGTGGTTATTATTCCTGTTACCATAGTGCAACAGGTCTCAGTCATACATTTGCCTAAATCTGGCAACCACTATATATTTACCTAAAGAAACAGACATGACGGAGCAAACCATGACGAATCATAAGAAAGAAAGCCTGTAGCACAACTGTGAACCTGAACATCATAACAAACTATGCAGATTCACTATGCACTGGCACTTGTATTACGTGTGTATGTACCTAAACACTCACTAACAAATTGCGCATGTAGCTGCTATTTAAAAAACTTGCAGAATTCTGTGATAAACTGAATTCACTTAAAATCTTTGTCCACCTCATGAAATCACTATATCCAGTTTATTCTAACACAGCTTTTAGGAAATTGCAGGACTCTCATGCCAAAATATCATTTCCCCAACTCCATAAGTGTCCTTGGTCTATGTAGTATAAGAATATTAGTTACTGTTCCTTTCTACTTTGGTTGTACCTGGAAGCGTCATCTAAGATGCCTACTGTATCTTTTTCCTCTTCTGACTCCAAAACTAATAGGTTGCGAACTATTACTAGTAGATTATCAGTATTTTACAGATGAAGAAATTCAGTATGTAGAGCAGTATTAAACACTAATTTTTCATTATTAGATTTCAGACGGAAACAGCTTCATTTTCCAAGAAAGGAAGTCCCAAACATAATCAGCACACCATAATCCAAGTCTTCCCTTTTCTATTTTTTGATTCAGTGTTCAAGACATATACACTGAGGTACATGAAGTACGAAATACAATTTCTTACCAAGTTTCACTTCTCTTCCTCAGAAAACATAGAAGATTTCCAACTGGGCAATACTGGAATGGACACTTACATATCACCTTGTAATGACATGCAAATATAAGCCCAATACAAATGACTATTATTTATTGGATTGATTATTGACAATAGATTGGATCCAGCAGACACTGACATTTATGATGACAATGGCAGAAATACCTAAGGGCAACAATAATAATACCATGTCTAGAGCAGGTAACATCTCACATAAGCCGTACTCTGAAATCCACAAACAATTATTACTTAATAAAATAAACAGTCCTCATCAGAACATCTGTCACACTGGCAACCTACCTAGGAAGGACCATGTAAGAGTTAAGTAGTATAAAAGATAGGGAAGACCATTAAAGAACCTTTTGAGAACACTGAATCATTTCAGTACTGACACTTCTTTTTTGTGTGTGTGTGCTCTCTCCTTCCTTAGCGAGATGAGGGCAAAATGTAATTCTCCTGCTAAAGATTATCATGTGAGTTGCTGGCATGAGTGCCCATGAATTTAGAAAGAAGCCAGAACATACAAGCTCAGCCACAGAGAAAGCCAAGCTGTGAAGCAATTAAAAACAATTTCGCAGAAGAGCCAGGGAGAGGAAAAATGGTTAGTTCATTGGAGCTCTTTCCTCTCTATCTGTTGCTTTGCTTTGTTCTCTTTCCATGGCCTGGTGAAAGATTGTGTCTTTTGAAATTCTGCCTGCATTTTATTTTTCCATTTAGTCAAATAAAAAAGGTATTAGCGTACAACTTAATTGACCTCTTGTTTTCCTTGCCGGCAGAAGGAAGAAAGACTCGTCCTCAAAGTGGATTTTTTCCTGGAGAAAATTTGGACTGTTGCACATTTATACTATTAGAATCATTTTCGTGTTTCAAGACATCAAAAGAGATGTGAAGAAAACCACAACACATGCAAGAATTATTTCTTACCAT